TCTCAGAATTTGCCTATAATGCTCCAGAGCATTCCTGTACCCAGAACACTCCGTTTACCAATAATTATAATGTCTACCCTGACAACAGCACCACCACTATCTTAGGAGTATCTATCTACTCACTACAAAAAATTATTTCCAGTTGACCTTCTAAGAGGTCAAACTGGAATAGAAAGAGTATATCGACCTTCAAAACAGAGCATCTTAGTGGGAGATGTCGTTAGCTCTTTTCTAGATACTTTCATTATGCACCACACATCCATACTAGAAACTCAAAGAACATTCCTCAAGATAATGGAAGACCTTCAAGTTTTCTGCATCTAGTGACTTCCCTTGACCCTTGATTGTCATGAGACATCTAACTTGCCCATCACCATTTCTATGATCAACCCCGTAAGGCTCCACTCTTCCTCAGAACCTAAGCAAACAAACCCCTAACCAACCGAGAGAGAAATTTTGGGTGTGTCAAGGGGAATTTACTATATTCCAGATGACATTAAGGTCAGCTGTAAATACTGATCTACCAAAACAATTAAGGACTAAAAGAGCAATTGTGGGAATCCACGTTTTACCTCCAAAATACAGGAAAGCACATCAAGCTGTGTTGAGAAAACCCAAGGAAACTATCTTATACAACTTTAATTATGGTTTATATCTTATTTACCCTTTTAATACTATTACACAGCTTGTATAAGTATAGCCTCTTAAATAATTTATGATTTATTGTAATTGACTTGAAAATTCTGGGATCCCTGGGTGGCTCAGTGGTTTAGCGCCTGCCTTTGGCCCAGGGTGTGATCCTGGAGTCCCAGGATCAAGTCCCACATCAGGCTCCTAGCATGGAGCCTGCTTCTCCCTCCTCCTGTGCTTCTGCCTCTCTCTTTATCATAAATAAATAAATTTAAAAAAATTAAAAAAAAAGAAAATTCCCTCACTGTAAAGGAAGTTATTTCTAATTTTTCCTCTATTATAGATGGTGCTTCAGTAAACATCTTTATACTTAAAGAATTTCTTCTTTAAAATTATTTCTTAGTTATAAAACAAATAAGTCCTGGGGATATAATGTACAACATAGTGATAATAGTTTAAAATACTATATCATAAAAAAATATGTACTATACTATATATTTGAAAATTACTAACAGTCTTAAAATTTTCACAACAAAAGGCAACTTTATGAGGTGATGGATGTGTTAACTAACCTTATTACGCAATCATTTTGCAATATATTCATACATTAAATTATATTGTATACCTGAAACATATGCAATGTTATATGTCAATTTTATCTCAATAAAAAAATTATTTGTTTAGGATAATCCCCAGCAGCATAAACTTCTTAGTTAAAGAATATGAATATTTTAACTTTTTATGGGAATTGCTTAATTCACAACTCAAAGGGCCATACCAAGCCACCATTCATAATCTTTGATGGTCCTTCTACCTCAAGCTTATCCTAACAAATGCTCCTTTAATACAATGTGCTTGAAAGTATAAATTGGGGCCATTGTTTTAAAAGGCAATTTATGGTGTTTTTCAAAAGTTAAAATGTACAATATCCTTTGATCTTGACATTCCACTTCAAGAAATTAGTTCTTTGAAACTGGCATGTCTACCTAAAGGAAAATGAACAAGGATCCTCACTGCAGCAATGTTTGTCCTAGCAAAGAAATAATTAATATAATTATTCATCAAGAGAATAAATTATGACAAATCAAAATAATATATATCTATTTCTGCTTTGAAGAAGCCATATGCAGGTATTTGCCCCTATACATATTTGCAGTGTATAGGAAAAAGTGAGGAGGATATACCAGCCATAACCTACAGAGAGAAAAATTATATTGGGAAGGGGGGCAGTAGAGTGGTGGTAAAGAAAAACTTGTATATTTCACTCTATAGGTTTGCATCTATTTGGACTGCTTATAATGAGCAAATATTCACCTAACACTTTCATAATAAAAGTCACTTTTAAAATAAAAGAAAGTAGTTGAAATAAGAAGAAATTTTAACACGAGTGTTAACGATCTATTTTCTACTTCCCCCCCTCTCCATTTATTACCTTATCAATCTAAACAACACTGAATATTAGTAATACATTCCACTACTGAGCGTATCAGCCCACTCCCTTACAAATGAGTGAACCTGAATAAAAACCCAGTAGAGAATTAGTGCTGAGAAAGTAGGACAGTAGGAGAGGTAAAAGGTCAAGGAGACTGAAGAACCATATATTTTCAAATAATCTGTATTCCAAACCACAAAGCATAATAAAAATGCACATTTATGCATGCTACCTTTTCATACTGGCTTTAACTTTTACAGTGGGACAAATGATTTGCAGCATAAATAAAATGTTGGCTATTTATTTAAACCTGGAGGTTTCTGAGTAGACTACAGAGAATCTGGCCCAGAGTCACCTATGGCACGATTGAACATCAAAAGTCACAATCTTAAAAAAAAAAAAAAAAAAAAAAAGAGTCACAATCTTTAGGTACAGCTCCAGATCTGAAGCTAGAAGGCGGAAATCTGCAGCTTCAGTGCTGACACATGAATCCCAAAGTTTAAAATGCACTTTCTTAAGTATTCAGAAACACTGGACAACCCAGTAGTACATAGGAACAGAATCATTCCATTATTTAAAAGAAAAAAATTCTCATTTGGTTTTCTGAAAGGCAGTGAGGTCATACTTCATTTTCTAAAGATGACACTTCCGAATCTAAACAAAATACAATCTGATTTAGATTTTATACACGATTCAGCAGGGCCTGTTTCTATTTTGATCATAAATCTGGGCCCAGCATCCAGTGTCTGGCATGTATTAAGCATGCAGTAAGTATTTATTGAATTAATACAGTTTGGACCAGGGAGCTCCTCATGTGAAGACAGAAATTAACTTGTATGAACTGGACGTGGCCAGTGGGAGAGAAGAATCTGAGCCTGGAAAAGGGAGAAGATGGATTCTACACAGGGCTCTGGGACTGGAAGGATGGGATCTCATTTCAGCTGCTTAACATTTAAGTTTCATAACCCTTCTCTAAAAAATAAGGGGGCAGATTCTGGGAAATTAACTGCCAAGGAATCATTTAAATTTAGTCTGAAATGTTGAAATTGAGATTCTGGAGTAAACACTCTTGATAAATGTCCTTGTGTGCTCTCATGTAAAATTTAATACTGCACAAACAAAGAAACACTCTGAAATGTGGGTATTACCTTCAACAGATTTTTCATTCTGTGACTAAGTTTGAAATCACTAGGAGGAGGACAACCCATTTGGAAGCAAAACAAGAAACATAATGAGTAAAAAAGTAAACCGTCAGTCTGCAAGTTTTGTCAGTTGTTATTCCAAATTTCAAAACGTATTTTTAAAAAGATTTTATTTATTTATTTGAGAGAGAGAGAGAGAGAGAACATGAGTTGGGGAGGAGCAGAGGCAGAAGGAGAGAGGGAGAAGCAGACTCCCCAGTGAGTACAGAGCCTCACAGGGGGCTGGATCCCAGGACCCTGAGATCATGACCTGAGCCAAAATCAGACACTTACTAACTGAGCCAGCTAGGTGCCCCCAAAACCTATTATTTATCAAATTATTTTTACCTAATTATTCAGGAATGGTACCTGATTCAGTTATTATTGAATGTAGGGCATAGTTATCAAAGGAAAAAAAATGCAAGATATCTTTTTGAAAAGGTATTCACAATAGTTTGGAAAACTCACGACCACGGGATGGCCAATCATCCAAACACGTGCTTTTAAAGATCAAAAACACTTCTGTGCCCAGAGACGTTAAGTACAACCTGTGCCAAATGTAGAAAAGAGATCTACTTACTAATAAACACGACCTTCATTTACAGAGCTGCAAGTCAGTTTTAACTGCAGCAAGAGGTCATGGAGAACAGGAACAAATACAAATCTGCATGCCCATCTCCAAAACTCGGGTATATTAGAGCAGATCAGCAGATGGCTACACTTGCATGAGAGGCTCCCTAGGCTGAAATGGGGAAAACAATGAAGGGTGCCCTTAAGATTCCGGGAGAAAAGCTCATGAATCCAGAAGAAAACCAAAAGTTACTCCAACCTCTGAGAGAGGAGAGGGTGGCCTGGGAAGGCAGAAAGTCACCCTGAGATGTGAGAAGCCAAGAGACATGTCCCTCGGTTCGTGTCACTTCCGCCCATCCTCAGGGAGAACTTACTTTCAAGTAACAAGGGGATGGGGGCTCCTCGGTTACCCTCTTGCCCAGTCCCACAGAGCACCTGTTCCAAGCCCTCGGTGAAGACAACTCCTGAAAGCACAAGGTCGTCTTCTGGAAATCTTGAAAGAGCTGCATAAAGGGGGGGGTTAAGAAGCTTGTCCCACTGGGGAAGCCCCAGTGGCTCAGTGGTTTAGCGCCTGCCTTCGGCCCAGGGCGTGATCCTGGAGACCCAAGATGGAGTCCCACGTCAGGCTCCCTGCATGGAGCCTGCTTCTCCCTCTGCCTGTGTCTCTGCCTCTTTCTCTCTCTGTGTCACTCATGAATAAATAAACAATCCTTAAAAAAAAAAAAAAAAAAAAAAGGAAGCTTGTCCCACTGAAGACCCCGGCTCCAGTGAGCAGCATCAGGCTTTGCAGGCCCGAGGAGGACGCATGGAGGACAAGCTGGCTGCAATAACCACAAGCAAAGAAAGCAATAAAACAGGACCCTGGCCCTGCCTTGATGCTCTTCAAGGGATGAAGCTGATGCAGCAGCAGATGAAGCAGCAGGAAATGTTGGTCAGAGCATGCAGCTAAATGTTGGCAGATCACGCAGGGTAAGAGCCACAGCGGCCAAGGAGGGCACAGGTGCGGCAGTCTGCATGGAGTCCCGTGAGCCAACTCAGCATCCCTGGGAGTAGGAAACCAGTGGACTTGGAATCCCAGGACCAGCAGGGTGTCAAGACCCACTGCAAGTGCCATTCATGCCCCGGGCACACGTATTACGGCCGGTGTAGCAAGGAACAGAAGGCTTATGGTAAAAATGTTCACTCACCTTCTTCCGGAGCCATGGCGTCCTGGATAATTTCATAAAAGTCAAATGAGGCTTAAAACTCCTGTTTTCTCCTGCCATGAAGCCCTTTTCTTGAAATGTCCTTTTTGCAGCCTCTAAAGAAAATAAAAATACAAAAATGCTACTGTAATACAGGGCTATCTTTTATTATAAAAATAGCAACTCAAAAAATAAATTACTTTATAATGAAGATTACTTTATGTGCCTGTATGGGATATTATTTTCTAAGAGAGGAAAAAAACTACAGTGTGTGGCAACAAACATGTTATTAAATCTGCAGAGATTTCGAACTCTAAGCCCACAAAAGCAACAATTTGAAAAGGAAACATTTAATAAAGGAAATAACCATTTGTTACGATGCTGATTTTCACTGAATATCCTAGTGCTGCCCATATTCATAAAAAAAGGACTAGTTTATCTGTAATTCATAATACCTAAAACAACTACTTCTGACCAAGATGGCATAACACTATCAGGTTTACCCTCCCTTCTGAAGCAATAAAAGGGCAAAGTATATAAAATGATGGTTTGTAAGATACTCTACTTATCAGGCAATGAAGGTCAGTGATCCCTTAGAGATGAGAAACCAACAAAGTGAGCCCTACGACTGCCCCACTTTCATCGCTGAGAGTCTAAGCCCCTGTGCAAAGAGGAGAAACCCAGGTGGAGCTGAAAGGAGAGGTGAAAGCATCTATGGTTCACAGGAAAGAGTCCTGGAAAAGTGAAATACGCACAAAGAAAAACCCACAGATCTGCAAAGGGTTGTCCTAGAGTATTCAGCTGAGTATAGACCAGCACATGTATGTTAGCAAACTACCCGAGGATGGAGAAACACATTCAAAAGTGTTAGAGGGAACAGTACCCGGTGCTCATACAGGGGCAGGAGAATTGTCTGTTCCCATGAGCCAGACTGGAATAAACCTCGAGATTTGTGGAAAACTGGGTAGAATGAATCAAAAGGTCTTACCTCAGCGGTGGGGAAAAATTAGCTTTGAACTGGTGCTGTTCTAGTCCCATCTAAAAAATCTTAGAAGCAAGATCCAAAAGGAAAAAACTGTTTCCAAGTAACTTGTGTCCCAGAACAAAGCCCAAAGTATTTATAGGAATACAAAACTATCCAGACCCAACAAGGTATAGACTTCAAAACACCTAGCATCTAATAAAAAAAATGTTCAGGTATGCAAACAAAAAGGAAAATGTAACCCACAATAAAGAGATAAATCAATTCATCAAAGGGACCCAGAACTGACACAAATACTAGAATTAGAAGATGAGAGAATCAAAATAGTGACTATGATGGCATGCTTTATGCTAAAAACATTAATAGAGACATGCAAGATAAAAAAAAAAAACCCAAGTCAAATTTAGAGATGAAAACTGCAATGTCTAGACAAAAATAAACTGTATGGAATTAACAACAGCTTAGACATTATAGAACAATAAATTAATGAACTTGAAGACAGCAATAGAAGCCACTCAAAATAAAATACAGAGGAAAGAAAGAAAGAAAGAAAGAAAGAAAGAAAGAAAGAAAGAAAGAAAGAAAGAAAGAAAAGAAAAGAAAAAAATCGTTAACTGTGGGGTAACAGCAAGTGATCTTATATACAAGTGAAGTCCCTAAAAGAGAGGTAAGAGGAAGACAGAGAAAAATACTTGAAGAAATAATGCCTGTTGGGGAACAAGAGTTGTCACAACCACGATGGAAAATAATCTAGGTAATAATCTTTAAAATTTAAACTGCACAAGTATTTGAACCAACAAATTCAATTCTAGGCAAATACACAAAATAAAATTATCAGCACATAAAATTTTATATAGAAGATATTTAGCAATGTTCAAATTCAAACAAAGTAGAAATAACCTCATCAATAAAGAAATGGTTGCTGAATTACCATATGGCATACTAAGCACTATCACAAGAAAAAGCAAATCAGAGCTACACATAATGTCCTGAAAAGATGCCTATGATCTATTAAGCAAAAAAAGGCAAGTTGCATGGTTAATATAATAATAATAGGATTCCACGGTTTATTTAAAGAAGGTAAATTCTCTCTATTTATGTTCTATTAGCATAAAAAATGGAACAAAATACCTTAGGATGAGGGTTGACATTGAATAGAGACAGATGAGACTAGTAACATTTTCTTTACACACTCGTACATTGTTTGAGAGGTTACAATGGGTGTTTATTACTTCTGAATAAAAAAAGTGGAAAAAATTAAGTAAGCACAACAACTGACTATGCATGAGCCATACAACATTATTACAAGGGCACAAGCATCACACTGGAATGCACGAAAAGAATTTTTGGCTATATATATGAAAAAATCCTACTTTTCAAAGATCTTTGGTAAACAACTTCGCATCTGTTCTCTCTACCTCAAAATCCGGCAGAGCTAATTCCTAAGTTAATTTTAAAGATTAAAAACACGGAAACATAAGAAGGTCAATGCTCCAAGTCACACTCCTCACCAGGAGTAAAGAAGGAACTGGAACCCAGATGCTGTCGTGTCTACTCTGGTCATGTTTGAAGCTGGCTAAAACCTCAGCTTCCAGCGGGCTCAGCGACGGGCAGGGAAGCTGCCCCAGCAAGTGACTGAGGAAGAGGAAGGCAGGGCATGTGTCCCAGTCCACTACGTCCACACACGCTGGACGTAGTGTTCAGTCAGAGCAGCTCCCCGGTTTTACGCATTTGAGCTTCTAGGTAGCCTTTCATTTTCTAAAAGGATTCCAACATTTACCCGAAAAAAGTTTGAAAAATCAAGCCTCAGAAAACACACAGAGACGGTCCCTTTAGTAACAATAATCCTGCCAATAATGTCCATTAAAAAATACGAACGGGTGAGTTATAAGGCAAAAAAAAATGTCTTTGAAACTCAAATAAAACCACATCCAATCCAAACGTGTTGAGAAAAATTGTTCCTTTTAGAATCATTTACTTCTTAGCAATGGGAAATATGCTCTAATTTTTCTGACAATTAAAAATCACAAACCTAGTGGGAGACTATCTAATCTTTCCTGAAAACACCAGGAGGATGCCTGGGTGGCAGCCAGTTGAGCGTCTGACTTGATGTCAGCTCAGGTCCTAATCTCAGGGTCATGGGCTGGAGCCCTGCATGCATGCTCAGTGTGGAGTCACCTTGAGATTTTCCCTCCGCCTCTGCCCCTCCCACTCCTGCTCTCTCTCTCTAAAATAAATAAATCTTAAAAAAAAAAAAAAAAAAAAAAACAGTGGGAGGATTAGACCAGGCTGGGAGGCTATGAAGCCAAGGAGATGTCCAAAGTCATGGTGGAGAATGGGTCTGCTGACACCCCACCCCACAGGGCCAGACCTGCTGCCACCTGCCTTCCACTGGGGGTAGCCACCACCCAGGACACAACCCATCGCCCCAGAATAGACTCTGCACTGTCCTTTTTTGTTCAAGTTGCTGGCTCCTGATTCAAAGCCAAGACCAAAGCAAGACTGCGTTTCCAGCACCAAAGCCAACTGTGGAAGAAGGAATGTGACATGGGAGAGAGTGGGTAAGAGTTCAGATGCTGGGCAGCTACAAAGGGAAAGACAACAGTCCGGCGTACACACGTGCTAACATGATAAGAGTGCGTTTATCACAACTACTATTATAATTAACTCATCAATGTTGGTTCACGTAATGAATCATAAGCAGGTATGTCTTTCCTCAACTAGCCTGTCCTAACAGCTTTGGCCCTCTCTGTTGTGGCATATCCTCATCTGTTTTTCAACAGACCTACAGAGTTAAAATATTAGGCTCAATCATGCAAAACTGTCATTTTTATGGATCAAAAATAGTCAAATACTGGCAATGTCTGATGGCTTGACATATGCCATGGGGGACTAATGGACTAAGTTCCTAGGATCTGACTGAAGGGATCAGGGCATACTTTCTAAGTCTTCAAGTTTTGTTTTTTTTTTTAAATTTTTATTTTTTTAAAGATTTTATTTATTTATTCACGATAGTCACACAGAGAGAGACAGAGAGGCAGAGACACAGGCAGAGGGAGAAGCAGGCTCCATGCAGGGAGCCCGACGTGGGATTCGACCCCGGGTCTCCAGGATCGTGCCCCGGGCCAAAGGCAGGCGCCAAACCGCTGCGCCACCCAGGGATCCTAGTCTTCAAGTTTTTGAAGGATTATCAAATACAAGAGTTGCTGATAGCGACTCGGCAACATGTTCATATCAACCCAGAAAACAGAAATGGCATGAAGGTGTGAAAGCAAAAATCCGTTTCTTCTTTTATTTACTGATCACGTCCCAGGTGTGCCAGGCACCGTTTGCTTACGACTGCGGACATGGCCCTGCTTTCGCAAAGTCTTAGGGACAGAGCTGGGACCAATAAGGAGGACTCAATAATGTTCAGAATTATCAAAAACTATAAAAGATACAAGGAAAGAGGTTTTGTTAAGAGAAATTAAAATGGTAGGTATTTGTATCGTTCATTACTACCTAGTTTTCACATTTTATTTTTTTTCATATAATAATCTCATTATCAATTGATTGTAAAGATACAATATTTTTCTATTTACTGGCTTCACTTACTTTAAATTTTGACCCAGCAGTTCTCATTACTCACTGGGCCTGAAATCTTTGATAATGGAGAGCCATCCATAATACTGCTTTAAATAATACTTGTCACAAAGCACAGATAATTTGTTATTAATGTGGTTTTCCAGTACAGTACATTCTCTAGGGAGAAAGAAATAGGGAAAAAAGAAAAAGTGTTGCCTTCTTTTGGAAAAGTATTTCTTAGTGTTGTTGTCCCCCCCCCACCCCATTAGCAATATTATCTATTGCTTAGCCAGACTACAGGGTAATGGTTAGGGAAATATTATTCTTGAGATTTGAAGAGTTTTTGAAAGAAGAGTTTGTGAAAACCACATGTCATTTTTCATCCACGTTAACTCATGTTCTGGAGGAGAAGCTTATGAATAATTTAAGAGATTGTTCAATTCCTCCTAGTACCACAGACATTCCTCCAAGCACTAAATAGAAAATCACACAGCAAATATATCAGATACCCTTCAAAAGTCAGTGAGGAACACTTCCTAAATAGTATAATTTACCTCATTGCTAAAGATG